TTCTGGAGTAAATTCAAAACTTTTATCAAAACATGTAGTAAGATCTATTTGTCAAATTTTAAATACTGTTTTAAGAAGAAAAGGATTTACAGGCTCCATAGGACATTGTGCTTCTTTGTTAAACATTATAAGTATTGTTGATAACCAGGCTAATAATTCTTTTTTTTTTATCTTCATTATTTGTAGTGGTGGTTTGTAAAATCCAATTTCCAAAAATTTGAAGCATCTCAGTAACATCATTTGTATGTTTTTCTTTGCAAGAAAAACTATATTTTTCCTCTTCCAATATGCTTATAAAAATGGCCACCATGCATATTGAAACATTGAGAGCATATATATCAAGTTCGATATTCATTATCTGAAATTTTGAGAATTGTATTTAAAACATTCCCTACTTTAAAAATAGGTCAGACTTTAAGAGCAGTGCAGAGTATCTGCACATTTTTGCCAACTACACAGACTGAATGTTGTATACAATTTTCTCTATGACTAAAAAAAGTCCTAAATTTATTGCAGAAAAGACAACACTTAATATGAACCAACTTTTTTCAATTGAGCGTTCTTTTTTAAGATGCAGTAAGTGAAGCTTGGCAGCATAATAGGAAAAATGAGATGAACACACCCCCAAGCTATAAAGCTGATTATTACTTCTTGCTTTTTCGAATGCTTTTTTATCTATTTACCATGCACCAATAAGTTGTTTAAGAGGATGTCATTGCTAAAATTGACCATTAATTAGATCTAAAATAACAAAAGGTGATAGGTTTTGTATATTACTGCGATTAGCTGCATCTTCTAATACTATACTTTCATTATATAATGAGGTTGATGTTGATTCTAGATCTGTTGAAAATGCTGAATCTACTTCAACTTCATCATCTTTTTCCCAAAACGTATTGTGACAAATCTCTTCATTTTCAGTAAAAACTCTGGCTCTTTCAAAGCTCATTTTATCCAAGGTAAATGTTTTAATATTATCAGAATCACGATTACTGCTTCTATCACAACTTCCAGATCTATAACTTGTAGTTTCATCACCAAACGTATCATCATCATCATCTGCACTTTTATACCCAAATTCACTGCTATTAATGAACTCATTAAAAAGAAGTGCATTTTTTATGTTTGGGCTTTTACTTGTTGGTGATTCTGGTATATTAGTTATCATTATATTGTATAAGGTAATGTTAGAACGAATGGCAAAAAAAACAAAAAAAAAAAAAAAAAAAGATAAAAAAACATGAGGTAGATTTTTGGGCTTGACTTAACGCTAACAATCTCAAACGCAAAACTTAAAAAAAGCATTCGAAAAAGCAAGAAGTAATAATCAGCTTTATAGCTTGGGG